GGCTACAGTGAGGGAGGTACAAAGTAGACAGAAGACAGTTGAACCCTTGACATGAGTTTTGAGGGGAGACTCCCATCATTTTAGCCTTGGAGTGGGTGGGGAAGAAGGGAAGTTCAGGACTCCAGCTTCGGGGTGCAAGAGTTTTCCTTGCCAACAAGAGAGCCTGACTGCAGCCACTTTCCTCTTCTTACAGACCTGGAGAACCCCAAGGGCTCTAGAGCCACCTGCAGCAGCCCTCCTGGATCACCAGTGGCCTCCAGCCCAGCCTCAGATGGGCCTCCCCCACTGCCTCAGCCCCCGCTGATCCTGCAGCCTTTGGCCTCCCCCCTGCAGGTGGGCGTGCCACCCATGACTCTGCCCATCATCCTGAACCCTGCGCTTATCGAAGCCACCTCTCCTGTACCCCTCTTAGCCACACCCCGTCCTACAGACCCCATACCCACTTCTGAGGTCAACTAAGACAGATCCCTACACAATCAGGACCAGTACTTCCCACCAGGCCGTCCCTGGTCCTCTTTGACCTTCTGGGGGCCCCAGACTCTTCAGGCCCAACCTAAGCTGCTGTCATTGTCACTTGGGAGTAGAGGAAGGGCAACTTTCACAGCCCTTGTTGGAACCCACGTCAGACTGCAGGACTTCCTTCTCCTCTGTGCTCCATTCCTGAGGGTCCAACCTGAGTGTGTACGAGGTATTACCTGTGGTCTCTGCGTCCAGCCTGGCAGCACTGGGAGCATCACTGTGCCAGCCGTGCAGTGCCCAGCCCAGCCACTCTGCACTTTGCTCCTGCTCCCATCCTGTCTATCAGCCTCAGGCCATCTCCTCCGAAGCTTCCTTTAGCAATCAGCTGGTCAGTCTGGAGAGGCAATCGGCGCTATGGAGGTGGCAGGAAAGGCCTGATGGGGGGCTGCCTGGAGCAGCGTGTACATATGGAAAGCCAAGACAGCGGTGGACTTTTTACGATGTAATAAAGGTCTCAGTACCGACGCCACTCCCTTTCCTCCCTGCTTTCCTTCTAGAGCTTGTAGTTCAGGGCACCACACTGCTGGGGTCTCCGGGGCTTGGCTCACAGTTAAACAAGTAAAATGCAGCTGAGTCCACCTGGCCCCCAACCAGCAAGAAGGGGCCAGATCTGGGATAAGGATCCCCCCAGCACTGTGACCAGCCCTCCCACTGCTGCGATGGTGCCCCTCAGCAGAGGTGTGCCAGAGCAGCTACCTACAAAGGCTCCCTCTGAGTCCTGAAAGCACTGTACTTGGGGGCTGAGGAGTGGAAGGGCCCCTTGCCCACATCTGGAGCCTGTGTTTTAGGCTGCTGTTCTCATGCCAACCTGCCTCCTGCTCACACCACCCACCGCCTCAGAGGCATGGGCAGCTCCCTCTCTCCCCCACCTTGCCCTCAGCATGGTGGGAATGCAGGCAGCACAGGCCCTTGGGGACAAGATGCCACAGTAGGATTCAAATTGCTTTTTTTTGTTGTTTTTGCTTGGGACTGGGGAATGTGCTCAAGGTTCCGCACAAGTTATGCAAGTACTCTACCACTGAGCTATATCTCAGGCCCTTTTTATTTGTTATTTTGAGACACGATCTCACTAAGTTGCCCAGGCTGCCCTTGTTCTTGCTGGGGTCTCTGGAGGCTTGTCCTGCCTCAGCCTCCTCAGGAGCGATGCACCACCATACCTGGCCTGCAGAACACTGCCCATTATGCTTCCTCAAGAGAGGCAGCTGACCTTCGCTTCCTGCATAGTGCTGCCCGCCCCTTCTGCAGGAAGAGGAGAGTAGGGCCTGTAGTGTGACCAGCTGGTCTCATTGTCCTTTGGCTTCACACTTCCCCCACTGGGAGTTGGGTTTGCCTCACTGACCTGTGGAAAGGGCACCTCAGAAGGAGAACTGCCCGCTGTGGGGAATGCAGACAACACCTGCGAAGGTCCGTCTTCCTCTCCTGGGCCAGGACCAGGCCTTATTTCCAACTAACTGAAGCCTGATCTGGCCCTGGGGAAAGGAGGAGGGCTGGGGCTCCGTGAATGCGAGCAGAGACGCCCTGTTCAACAGCTGGACAGTGACGACTTCTTGTCCCTCAGTTTGTCTCAGATTAGGAAAGAAGCAGAGAATAAGCTAACACCACGCTGGGCCGCAAGTGCTCACCAGGAGGCTGGTTCCATTACAGAGCAGCCACACAGTGCCAGGCTGCTGACAGCACTGTCTCTCCTTGACAGGAAAGCAGCACTCAGGCCTCAGTTATATTCTTTTTTTTTTCTTTTAGTTCTAGGGTGTCAAACCCAGGCCCTTGCCAGGCATAGCAGTGCATACCTGTAATCCCAGTACTCAGGAGGCTGAGGCAAGAAGATCGATCCAATCCGAGGCCAGCCTGGGCTACATAGTGAGTTCAAGTCAGCCTGATATGCATAGCAAGATCCAGTCTCAAAAAAAATAAAATAAAATAAAATAAACCAGGGCCTTGAGTGCGCACTCAGGTTAAGCACTCCGCCATCGAGCACTGTCCCTGGCCCCTTGGGCCTTTCTTATAACCAACAAGGAAGACTGTCTTGTGATATGGAAGTGACAAAATCTTGAGGGAAATGCTGCTCCTAATGAGATTCCCACTAGAATCCAGGAGAGCAGATTTCAGAAAGTCCCACTGGGCATGGTGGTGCACACTTGTAATCCCAACACTCAGGAGTCTGAAGCAGGAGGATCGCTGTGAGTTTGAGGCCAGCCTGGACTACACAGTGAATTCAAGGTCAGCCTGAACTACAATGTTGACACCTTGTCTCAAAAACAAAAAATAGATCAATAGCTGTGGCAGTAGAAACCCTCTGGAATCAAACAGATTTTCACTAGTTTCTCAGGGGAAATGTAAGGCTAAGCAGTGGAAGAAACAGGCTGTCACCCCATGAGCAGAGTTTAATGGGAACCCGTGAACCCTGGAGATCCCCAGGCCAAGGACAGGTGACTTCACTGCACACAGATGAGTCTAGGCAGGGCAAATCATAGACCAAGTGGCAGTGGGAGCACTCATGCCCACACCAGCGCTGCAGAAAAGAGCACATGCAGTTCTCACAGCTGGGCTTTCACTGTGGCTCAGTCAACTGCCTACCAGTGATTCCCTCCCCACCTTCTCTCTGCTCCTGAGATGCTAGTATTCTCTTGGTTCTCCTCCATCTCACTGATGGTGCCTTTTCCTTTTCCTTTCTTTCTCTTTTTTTTTTTTTTTCTTTTTCTTTTTCTTTTTCCTTTTTATCGGCACCGGAGATCAAATCTTTCTCTTTTTTGAGACAGGGTCTCTCCATGCAGTCCAGGGTGGCCTTGAGCTCACTTGGTAGCCCAAGCTGGCCTCAAACTCCTGCCTCAGTCTCCAGTGCTGGGATCATAGGTGCACAGCACCACGTCTGGTGATCATGCCTAGTTTTGTTTTGGCACTGGGGATTGAGCCCAAGACCTTCACACTAAGCTACACTCCAGACTTTTTTATTTTTATTTTTATTTAGTTTTGAAACATGTTCTTTCTGAGTCACTAAATTGTCCAGGTTGGGCTCAATCCTGTGGTCCTTTTGCCTCAGCCTCCTGAGTGCTGGGGTATAGTGTGACTACCATGCCAAGCTGCCCGTTTTAATACCCTTTGTGGCTCCCTCATCTCCCAGGACACCCTGGGCTCAGTCCCTCCATTCTCAGGTCATTGCTCTACACTCACTGGGTAACATCTCCTGACAAAAACCCAAATGCCAGACCATGTCCACCGGCACACCCACTTCCCTGCTCTATGTACCAGCCTTGACCCCTCCTCCAGACTTACCAGATGCCCTTCCTGACTTAGAGGTTTCTCAAACGTAACACATTAAAGCAAAAGTGCTGGACATCCTGCTTTAAATCTGCTCCTCCCCTCTTACCCCATAGCGCTGTAGGACAACTCCCCAGGTTTTTATTCCAAAAGCTTCCTGTCTTTTGTCATACCGCATCTAAGCCTCAGCAAGTCCTCATGCTTCTATTATAAATCTACCCAGGATGTGAATACCTGTCATTCTCACCCCCTGCCATCCAATTCCAAGCCACCATCTATGAGACTGCTGGTGGCCCTCCCTGTCCTGCATGCAGCACCATTGCTGTCCATGCAGCAGCCCACTGCACCCTCCTAAATCACACAGCACTTCCGCTCCATCCTGCCCCTTCCAGTGGTCACCACCTCACTCAGGACACATCCAAAACCCTGGCTTTGTTCCATCTGCCCCTTATTGCTGTGTGCACAACTGCTCACATGAGTCTACCAGCATGCTCTTCCTCCAGATATGACATGGCTCGCTCTCTCTCTCTCACTTCGCTCAAGTCACTGTTCAGTTGTCACCTCTACAGAAAGGACCTTCCTGAACTAGCTGGAAAACCCTTGTCGCCCTATGCTCTGGCCTACTTCATGTTTCTCAGAAGCACTCAGGACCACTGACATCTGCCTTTGACTTTTGTCAGCAAACAGAGACATTCACTTGTAGCATAGGTCTTCTTTGTTTACTGGCAGTAGAGAAATTTTAAGGTCCAGGCAGAGTCAAAGTTGATGCTTTCACTGAGAATTAGTGAAACAAAAAACAGTGAAGTTTCTGAAGCCCAGATAAACGAGGTCAGAGAGATACTCTGCCATTCTGCTGTTCAGAATAAAGTGAAATATCCAGGCTACCTCAGATTGGGAAGAGTCTGTGCTAACAGAAGCACAGGGCTCTCTGTGCCATTCTCCCACATTCCATCTATGTGAAATTTCCTAGAACTTTTCTCAATCCTCAGATGAATTATACCTCAGGCTGTGTCTTATTTTTTCTCTTACTGGGACAAAATATCTGACATCCAAAATTAAAGGAGAAAAGGTTCTATTTAGCTTACAGTTTGTGGAGGTTTTGGTTCATAATCAGCTGTCTCCAAGGCAGAGTGATGTGGAACATCACAGAGAAACAATAAAGGCAAAACAGGGCAGGCAAAAGGCAGCAAGTGAGCTAAAGTGACCAGCAACAAACACACAAGCCCTCCTTCTCTTATATTTTATTCAGACTCTTTGCCCTTAGGGATAGCCCTCACACCTTTAATCCTAGCATAGCACTGTGAGCCAATCCCAGCATTGCGGGCTTGCTCCTAGATTCAGCCACCTCTAAAAAGCTTCACCTGAGACTGCAGGAGGCTCTGGGGAAACATCTAGACACAAACCATAACAGTGTATGTTGCAGCGAGTTGAACTCAGGGCCTTGTGCATCCTGGGCAAGCACTCTACCACTGAGCCATAGCCCTCGCCCCAACAGTTCAAATCCAGCCAGGTGTAGTGGCACATACCTGTAATCCTAGTACCTTGGTAGGCTGAGGCAGCAGTATTGCAAATTCAACCCCAGCCTCAGCAATTTAGTAAGATTCTGTCTCCAAAAAGTAGTGATAAAGCGACTGGACATGTAGATCAATGCAAATACCCTAGGTTCAATCCTCAGTTCCAGATGGGGTAAAAAGTAGCTCACATCCTGTGGGTGCTTCAGCAATTTTGTGGCACCTGGAAAAGACTGTGCCACCTTCAGGCTGTAGCTGTGGGAAAAGATAACCAGCAGTAACTACCACAGGTCACTAAGTTGGAACAAACTAAGCTTATTCTATCTAACAGAAGAACCAAAAAGCTGTTTTTCAAGGAAATGTAATAGACAAAACACTTGATTTCAGAAAATTGTTCGGCAGCATGTCATGATACTTGAAGGTGTCAGGAGTGGTAGCACACCCCTGTAATCCTAGCATGCGGGAGACTGAGGCAGGAGGATTGCTGTGCGTTTGAGACCAGTCTGGGTTACACACTGAGTTCAAGGCCAGCCTGAACTGCATCTTGAGACCCTTTCTCAAAAACAAAAAATTAATGCAGTTTCAGATTTTGGATATTTTCAGATTTTCAAATTAGAAACTTTCAACCTACATAGTCTACGCAAATGCTCCAAAATCCAAACAACTCCAAAAACCTGAAGCACTTCCACTCTTTTACTGTTTATTTTGAAACAAGTTTTGTTATGGAGTTCAGGCTGGCTGTGCACTTGCATTGACCTTCATGTCTCAACCTCCCAAGTGCTGGGATTACAGGTGTGCTTTGACGCGAGCAAAGGGTAAAGGGGTATTCAATCTGTGATTATATCTCAGAGTTGTTGGGAGGAAAAATAAGAATTTATACTAAGGTATCCTAATAAACTGGATGTGGTGGCACATGCCTGTAATCCCAGCACTTGAGAGGCTGAGGCAGGAGGATCACTGCGAGTTGGAGGCCATTCTATGCTATAAAGTGATTTGAACTCTACCCTTATATTTACTGTCAATATTCAGAGGAAGGGAAGGACAGGCAGAGCTCAAATAAAGAGCCATAATAGTCCCCTTTAGTGCCAGTGCAGGACTGTAACTGCATTCATAAGAAAAGGGCACCAGGGGTCTGGAGATTTAGCTCAGCGGCTTAAGTGCCTGCTTTGCAAGCAAAGGGTCGTGAGTTCGATCCCCGGTACCGATAAAAGAAAAAGGGGCGCCTGGTTTGGTGGCACATGCTTGTAATCCCAGCAGTCTGAAGGCCCGAATTCAAGGCCAGCCTGAGTTACATTAATGAGTTCCAGGCCAGTCTGAAGGACACAGTGAGCCCCTGCCTAAAAATAGAAGAAATAGAATGTAAGCTGAGAAGACGAGGGGCCATGCCCTGCTTGGAAGAATCTTGTATTTAGACTTCAGACGTCTTTTCAAGTTTAATATCCTTGGCCTCTGTGGCAGACCAACGAGGCCTGAGACATAGCAGGAACAGACAGGGCCCCTGGGTCCCTAAGGCCGCCAGATGGCGCCTATGGACTTGACCGAAAGAGCTACTTCCTCTTCCCGCAACCCTTCCGAGCAGCGAGGCCGATTGGGGCGGGGAACAGCGGGTTGGGACTCGCTGGCTTCCCCCCGGGGTTCTCCAGCTTCAGAGGCAGCCAGGCGTCAGGTGCAGCTGGGGGCGAGAAGCTGCGGGGACGCCCCACCGGCCTGCGCCAGCCTGGGAGATCGAAGGGACCCGGACTCCGGAGGGGAGTGGCCCTCGTCTGCCGACCAGTAGGGAACTAGCCTCCCCACTCCGCTTCAGCATCCGCGGAGTACAAGGCCCGACAGTGCCCTAGGTCCCAACACAGCGGACCACGCCCTCGGAGGGGCGTGTCTGGGCCACTCCTGGTTGGCAGCTTGAGTCCAGAATTAGACTTTCAGCCAATAAGAAACAGCATGAAGTGTGACGCACGGAAACGTCACGGGAATTCCCCCCTCTCGGGGCCGGAAAAGGGGCTTTCCCCGCCAGAGCCCCGGCTGCTGGCGAGGAGCAGCTTCGGTCCGTGGCGGATCGGGCAAGAAGCCGGAACCGCGGCGCCACACGGTGAGAGGCCGGCCTAGACCCCCGAGTGGCCGCCACGAAGGGTAGGCAAAGCTGTGTGCGGGTCCAAGCGCCAAGCTAGAGAGCAGCGGACGCGCACATCTGAAAAGCGGCGCACGGCCACGTAACACCGACACTTGTTAAAACCACGCGAACCGTAAGTACACCTGTACTTGCGCCGGCGTGTGCGCGGGCAGATGTGTTCACTCGTGCACTAGCGGTGAACACATCCTCCACGCACAGCTCGGAGGGCTCACCTGTGCCTGTCCAGCGCCGACTTACACTGTCAGCACCAAGCTCTGGAACTCACCTCTCTAGACACGCTTATTTGCACACACATATTGACACCACGCACACACAGCATGCATGGGAGCACGGGGACCGGAACACATCTGCCCTGAACCACAGGGAAGGGACTGTACACTAGTGAGGGAGACTCGAATATTGCACAAAGCTGCAGGCCTCCACCTCCCCTCCTTCGGCTTCCGAGTTCAGGCAGCTGAGAGCCTGGTCTGAACAGCAGACCCCTTCCCCCTCACCCCCCTACCTCCCCAATGGGCTAAGGAACAGAACCCCCAGGCCCCGCACTGGAAAGCGCCTCCCGCCTACGGACCGTTCGAAGAGGCGGCTTTCCGACTGCAGGAATGTCCCCCCAAAAGCCCCGGAGGTGAATCAGCCTTGGCCTCCCTCTTGGCAGAAAATCCCAAGATTGCTCCAACCGGCGGAGAGGGCGAGAGGCGGCCCGGTCCCGGACTCTGAGCCTCTCGGGCCGCGCAGGACACCCCGGCCGCCTGCCTTGTCCCTCCCGCCGGGGGCGTCCTTGGCTCGGGACTCCCGGCCCCTCCGCCCCTCCTCCGCCCGCCTGCTGGTCTAGCTGCGGAACCCCTGCCCCTCCTACCTCAGAGGCGGGGCCGATGGCGTCACTTCCAGGCCCGTCCCTCCGGCCCCGCCTCCCCCTGGTATTTTCGGGACTTTCCTAAACTGCTCTAACTTTCTGCCCCTTCCCCGGCCCGGCCCAGCTCCGCCGGATCTCTCCCGCCACACCCGGACTGGTGGCTGGAGGAGATCGGACCCTCCCCCAAATCGGGGCACCCCCCCCCCTCCTGCCCTGTCCTGATCTATCCCGCATCCCGTGCCGCTCTTCCTCACTATAGGCCGGTGCCCTAAAACTCTAGGAAACAGAACCAGGGCTGAAGCCGCCAGAGCCGGGCCTAACTCAAGAGACATGGACAGTTGCTACGACCCAGTGAGTCACGCTGCCTGGCCCTGACGATGGCGGGTGCCCCTGTGTCTGTCTGTCTGTCTGTCTGCCAAAGCCCCCTGCCTCCCTCACACCTGTACTTCCCCAGACGTCCCAAAGCCTGAAGCCTACCTCTTTGCCCATCTGTCTGCAAACTCCTTCGCGAAGGAGCATTCTCAGGGGCCTAGGGAGGAGTGGGAATGATCTGAGTGCTCCCCGGGTGGCTCAGGGTCAGCCCCCACCCTGTCTCCACACCAGGCCCTGGATGGCCTCCCCGAATATGACGATTTCAAATTCAGCCCCTCCATTGTGGAGCCCAAGGAGCCAGCCCTAGAGACAGGTGAGTAAGTGCTCCAGCCTCCCCTTGCTCTGGAGGGCAGAGGGAGAGCCTGTGCCTTCTGTGGGAGAATGGGCTAGAAGATCCTGGCTCAGCACACCTCCTCTATCTGCAGCTGATGGTCCCTACCTGGTGATTGTGGAACAGCCTAAGCAGGTGAGTAAGCCAGAGGGGCAGTGTGGCACAGCTTCAGCTCTGGGGGCCAGTGGTATCCTTGCAGCTGTGGCCTAGGGGCTTGGGGTTAGCACCAAGCAGACCACTGTCATTGGCCGGTTGTTGCTGGTCACAGTGGGGCAGCTGTGGTTTAGGAAAGATGCTCTTAGTCACTGTGGTCCCTGCCAGCCAGCAGTGTGGCTGCCTTGGGTAGTCCCTCCTGATCACAATGTCACTCTACCCTGGACCTTCAGCGAGGCTTCAGATTTCGGTATGGCTGTGAAGGCCCCTCCCATGGAGGCCTGCCAGGCGCCTCCAGTGAGAAGGGCAGGAAGACCTATCCTACTGTCAAGGTGAGCCAAGGTAGGGCTGGAGAATGGGCCAGGGTTCAGCATGGCCAGAGCCACCACTGACAGCCCCCGCCCCTCTCAGATCTGTAACTACGAGGGACCCGCCAAGATTGAGGTGGACCTGGTGACACACAGTGACCCGCCACGTGCTCACGCCCACAGCCTTGTAGGGAAGCAGTGCTCCGAGCTGGGGGTCTGTGCTGTGTCTGTGGGCCCCAAGGACATGACTGCCCAGTAGGTGTCCCTAACCCTGGCCCCACTGGGATGTCCCCTCACTGCTTGCCAGTTCCAGGCCCAGCCTTCCCCTGTGTGCTGCCCTTCTGGCAGAGGCTCAGGTGGGCTTAGAGGCTCAGGGCCACATATAATAAACTAGAACAGCTTCCTTGAGGAAGTAGGGCTGGGCTGGGGCTGGCAGCAGAGAGGCAGCCTCAGGAGGAAAGGGCTGCAAGGGGACTGGCCTCTGACTCCTCCCCTTCCAGGTTCAACAACCTGGGCGTCCTGCACGTCACCAAGAAGAACATGATGGAGATTATGATACAGAAACTGCAAAGGCAGCGGCTCCGCTCCAGGCCCCAGGGCCTTACAGGTACCTAGGAGAGGCATCAGGGAGGTGCTCGGGGAAGGCCAAGCAGAGGAGCAGCCTGGGGTTCACGGTCCACTGCATTCCCAGAGGCCGAGCGGCGAGAGCTGGAGCAGGAGGCCAAGGAGCTGAAAAAGGTGATGGACCTCAGCATTGTGCGGCTGCGCTTCTCTGCCTTCCTCCGGGCCAGCGACGGCTCCTTCTCCCTGCCCCTGAAGCCAGTTATCTCCCAGCCCATCCATGACAGCAGTGCGTATCTGACACCCGGGGGCCAGGCCGGGGTCCAGAAGAAACTCCAGGGGAGTCCTTAAGCTGTGGGATCAGATGGGCCTGGGTTTGACCCTGGTCCTGCCCCATGACATGCTGTGGCCTTGAGCAAGTTGCTTCTCCCCTGAAGTGTTGCTTCTGTCCTCGGCAGAGGAGGACACTAGTGCTCCCACACTTCCTGGGCTGAGATGACAACAGCGAGGCCCCTGGCTCCGTCCATGCAGTGTATCGCCTCAGCTAACCCATCTCACACCCCACAGAGTCTCCAGGTGCTTCAAACCTGAAGATTTCTCGAATGGACAAGACAGCAGGTTCTGTGCGGGGTGGAGATGAAGTTTACCTACTTTGTGACAAGGTGCAGAAAGGTAAGGCTGGAGCCCAGGCTGGGAACAAGCCCGGGGTCCAGGGCAGCTCCAGGTGAGGTGTGGCCAAGCTCCACTTCTGACTACAGACGACATCGAAGTTCGGTTCTACGAGGACGATGAGAATGGGTGGCAGGCCTTTGGGGACTTCTCTCCTACAGATGTTCATAAGCAGGTACTGAGGGGCCCAGCTGGGCTGGGACTGAACTCAGCAGAGGCCTCCCTGACATCCCGTGTGTCCCCACAGTATGCCATCGTGTTCCGGACACCCCCCTATCACAAAATGAAGATCGAGCGGCCAGTGACAGTATTCCTGCAGCTGAAACGCAAGCGTGGAGGAGACGTGTCCGACTCCAAACAGTTCACCTACTACCCTCTGGTGGAAGGTGACGCCTGGGCTGGGATCTGAGGGCTCCCCGGGTGAGCCCTGGGGTAGGACCCTAGCATTCTGGTGCTGACACGCGCATTCTGTGCTGAAATCCGCTTCTCCCTGCCCCAGACAAGGAGGAGGTACAGCGGAAACGGAGAAAGGCCTTGCCCACCTTCTCCCAGCCCTTCGGGGGCGGCTCCCACATGGGCGGAGGCTCCGGGGGCTCAGCTGGGGGCTACGGAGGAGCCGGAGGAGGCGGTGAGGGGCGCGGGGGCTGGGGAGGGCTGCGGAGGTCCCGCGCGGGCGGTGGGAGCGCGGTGCTGTGGAAAGCCCAGTGAGCGCGCGGCCTGCACCCACAGGTGGCGGCCTCGGCTTCTTCCCCTCCTCCCTGGCCTACGGCCACTACGCGTCAGGCGCGGCCCCGACGGGCTGCTACCCCGGCGGCGGGGGCGGCGCGCAGATGGCGGACGACGGGGCAGCGGGCACGAGCGCGCCCTCGGGGACCCCGCAGCCCGAGCCCGAGCCCAAGCGGGACTACAGCGCGCGCCTGCTGGGCCTGGCGAGGCGCGAAGCGCGCGCGCTGCTGGACTACGGCGTCACGGCCGATCCCCGCGCGCTGCTCGCGGGACAGCGCCACCTGCTGACGGCGCGGGACGAGAACGGGGACACGTAGGCCGGATCGCTTGGGGAGAGTGCGAGGTCGGGGAGGGGGATGTGCCTGGGCTCAAGGCCGCCCTCCACCCTCCGGACGTGGGCTTTGCCAGCCGGGAAAGGCATGGAGCCTGCAGAGAGACGGGGAAGTGTTCTGGTCCAGTGGTGCCCCTAGAGGCGTTCTAGGTTCCCAGGACCGCGGAGGCTGTGAACAGTTGGGCTCATCAAGTCGGTCTCCTCCCCAATCCAGACCCCTGCATCTGGCCATCATCCACGGGCAAACGGCGGTCATTGAGCAGATAGCCCACATCATCTACCATGTGCAGCACCTGGGTGTCGCCAACCTCACCAATCACCTGCAGCAGGTCGGGGGGGGGGGCCTCACCAGAGGGAGGGATTGGAAGGTAGGTAAATGTGAGCTGGAGTGGAGAACTCATATGCCTGCCTCCCCAGACGCCCTTGCACCTGGCGGTGATCACTGGACAGACTGGGGTGGTGAGCTTCCTACTGCAGGTGGGGGCGGACCCAGCTCTCCTGGACCGGCATGGAGACTCGGCCATGCACCTAGCGCTGCGGGCGGGTGTGGGGGCCCCAGATCTACTTCGTGTACTGCTGCAGAGTGGGGCTCCAGCTATGCCCCAGCTGTTGCACATGCCAGACTTTGAGGGTAAGAACCTGCCTCCTGGGACCCCAGTGTGGGGACGGCCACTATGTGGACCTGAAGTGAGAAGGTGGACCCCATCAGGCTGTGTGGGGCCACAGTGGCAGGCTATATGTCCTGTGCCTCTAGGACTGTACCCAGTGCACCTAGCAGTTCGTGCCCGGAGCCCTGAGTGCCTGGACCTGCTGGTGGATAGTGGTGCTGATGTGGAGGCTGCCGAGCGACAGGGTGGCCGCACAGCCCTGCATCTGGCCACAGAGATGGAGGAGCTGGGGTTGGTCACCCACCTAGTTACCAAGGTGGGAAAGAGGATGGTGGAAGGGGAGTGGCCGAGGGCTGTGAGGAATTCAAGCTGTGCTTACCGGCTTTGCCTTGCACCCCACAGCTGCATGCCAATGTGAATGCCCGAACCTTTGCTGGAAACACACCCCTACACCTGGCAGCTGGACTGGGTTCCCCAACCCTCACCCGCCTCCTCCTGAAGGCTGGTCAGTCTCATGTGTATAGACACTCGGGCAGGGCACAGGGTAAAGGAGTACCACTCCGGTCCCCTACCATTCAGGCCCTAATATGGGGCCCACTGCCCTGCCCCCAGGGGCTGACATCCACGCAGAGAATGAGGAGCCCCTGTGCCCATTGTCTTCACCCCCCACCTCTGGGAGTGACTCGGATTCTGAGGGTCCTGAGAGGGATGCCAGAGGCAGCTTCCAGGGCCACACACCACTTGATCTCACTCGGAGCACTAAGGTGAGGTGACCTGGCACAGGAAGCCCCCGGCACCTCCAGGGGTGGGGGTGGAATCCAGTGTGTGATGTGGACTGGCAGGGGAGATGAGCAGAGCTGCCTCTGCAGGTGAAGACCTTGCTGCTTAATGCTGCTCAGACCTCCTCGGAGCCCCCGAACATCCCACCCAGCCCTGCAGGTGAGGCCTCACCCAAAGCCCTGACCTCTCCTCACAGAGGTCTTCTTCAGAGGCCCATTCTCTGCCCCAGTGGCTTTGTCTCTCAGGTCACCAGGGGGCAGTGGCCAGGTGTTTGTGTCTCTGCCCCTTCTGGAGGCAACTCATACCTGTGTATATCCCCAGGGCCAGGGCTGTCCCTGGGTGAGACCACCCTACAAAACCTGGAGCAGCTGCTAGATGGGCCAGAAGCTCAGGGCAGCTGGGCAGAGCTGGCTGAGCGACTGGGCTTACGCAGTCTGGTGGACACGTATCGGAAGACCCCCTCACCCAGTGGCAGCCTCCTGCGCAGCTACAAGGTGGGGCACGTGGACCACACCCTAACCTGGCCCCCAGCTGCCTAGCCTACGCCCAAGCCTAGGCCCCTGGGCTCCCAACTCCTCACTCCGACCCACTACTTAGGCCTCCACCTCTCCCTTCTCAGCTGGCTGGTGGGGACCTGGCAGGTCTGCTGGATGCACTGTCTGCCATGGGTCTAGATGAGGGGGTGAAACTGCTGAGAGGTCCAGAGACCAGAGACAAACTGCCCAGTACAGGTACATGAGGCACCCTGGAAGGTGGGCCAGGGCCAGAGGGTGGGAGGCCTAAGTCTTGACGCTCCTCGTGCCTTTCTTGTGTCCCCTCCAGCTGAAGTGAAGGAAGACAGTGCCTATGGCAGCCAGTCCGTGGAACAGGAGGCAGAGACACTGGGCCCACTCCCTGAGCCCCCCGGGGGCCTCTGCCATGGGCACCCTCAGCCTCAGGTGCACTGAGCTGTGCCCACCACCAGCCTCCTCCTGGACCCTCTGTACAGCATCCCCACCCGCTACAAATTTTATTTAACACCCACAGCCCACATCTCGGCTGGGGCAAATAAAGGATTCTTTGAAAGGGGAGGACCTTCAACCACTTATGGCCACCCATACTGTGACTCTTGTCCCTATCCTGCCCCAAACCAGTGAGAAGAGGAGTAGGAGGCCCAGCCAGCAATTCAGAGCAGTTTTAATAGAGTGGAGGCTGTACAAAGGCCAGGGCCCACGGAGGAAAGGGAAGCAGCTGGCCTCGGCCTGTGCAGGGAACCCCTCCCCACTTCCAGGGACAGAGAGGAGCGCCCTTGGGGAGCAGGAGGAAAACCAAGCTCAGCCCCAATTCCTGGCCTCTGAGCAAGGTCGCAGGCCAGTGGATTGCTGGTGTCAGGGTGATGGTCCCAGCAGAAAGCAGAAGTGTCATAAGGCTCCCCACAAAAAATATACTGCATCAAAATTTTGGGCATTTGCCACCCCCACCCCACACCCCACCCCATAGGAAAAAGTGCAAACATTATCACAAAAGGAGCCTCAGGGGGCCTCAGCCTAGCCTCCGAGGCTGCACCTACCCTGCCCTGCCCCGGACCCCGCGTCCGGCGCGGTCAGACCTTGCTGGGAGGCCCTCTGTATGGCCCGAGGCTGGCCGGGCTCAGGCAGGGCCTGTTGTCATGCAGGTGCCCACAGACACCCCCACACTGCCTCTCCCAGCTCAGGGCTTCTGGGGTGCACTGCCTACCCCGGCCTGGGATACTAAGCCAGAGCGCTGGGCTGAAGGCTGCCCCACTGGGTCAGGCTGCAGGGAAGGGCTGGAGTGAGGTGGGGGATGGTCCTCCTCTGTGTTCCCCGCCTGGGCCAGCACTGCCTCTATGGTATCCAGCTCCTCGCTGGCTGCCTTCAGCTTGACCCGAAGCAGCGCTGCATAGGTGCCGTAGCGAGATTTCTGAGGCAGAGGGCAGTGCTGTGAGAACCAGCTCCCCAGGCATAGCAGGTCCTGCTCACCACTAAAACCCTGAGCTCATGATGGCCCCTGACAGGCCATAGTGCTCTGGTGACCCTGGGCTGTCACCAGAGCTGGAAGACTCAGCACTTGGCAGACATCCCTTCCTGAGTTCTAGTGTGATGGGTGTGTGGATGTCAACCTTGTTCCCAGAAGAGAGAACCACAATTCAGAGAAGGACCCTGCCCGAGGTCATCCAGTGGCTCCATGCTGTTTGAGCCCAGCCTGAGCCCGTGTGGGTGTCAGGCAGGGGGCTCACCTCGAACTCCAGGTAAGCCTCCTTCTGCCGCTGCTCATCCGCCTCCTTGCCTCGGGCCTTCTTCCCCAGCTGGGTGGCCCGATGTTCACGCAGTTCGTTTGCCATGGCCTTCAGCTTGGCCTCATGGGTCCGAACCTGCTCTTCCTGGCCGCCGGGGAGCAAAGTCAGTGTCATGATGGCCTGTGCAGTGTTCACCACCTGCCCCTAATTCTGGGCAGGCAAAACACATGCCTGTGTTCTCAGATCCATAGCAGAGGCTGGGCTGGACCTCGGTCTCCACTCACCCTGTGGCTAATGTGGAGATGCAGGGGGCTTCTATCTAATCCCACGCATGCCATCACCTGGGCCTGCCTACCCCATCCTGCTGGTCCAAGGTGGACCAAGCAGTTGGGGCTACCTGGGAGAGGCGGGTAGCAGCACTGGGCAGCAGTGGGCGGCTGAATTTCTTCTGGGAGCTGACAGCAGCTGGGAATGGGGGTGCAGAGAACATAGCGGCCACCACATTGATGCGTGTGATCCAGGACTGCATCTGCTCCAGGCTCCTGCAGAAAGATGCAGGGCCTGGCTGGTCCTGGCCGAGGGTGTGGCCAAAGAAGGACAGAGGAGACCCCAGGATACTGGAAGGGAGCAGGCAGAGTGGGGTGCGGGGTCATGGGAGAGTGGGACACTCACGGAGCCTGGAAGAGGAAAACTCGCCAGTCTGCTGTACGCAGGTAGAAGACGTGGGGCCTCTTACTATAGTCGCTGGCCCTTGTGGCCAGGGCGTGGTGGATGCTAATGGCATTCTTGAGCTCAGCCTCAGAGAGCGCCTTTCCAGGCTGGTACTCCTCCTGCAGGTGTGCCCATCTTGTCCTGTCCCAGCCAGCCTTGCCCACCCACATCTCACCACTCCCCGTCCCAAGCCAGCATGGCCCCACTCTCGGCTGGTCGTACCTTCTGTAGGTAGAGGATCATGCCCTTGAGGATTCCGTGGAAGCTCTTCCAGCCCCGCTTGCCCCGAGGTGCTGGGGAGGGAAGGCAGGTCAGGGAGGCTGGGACAGACCCGTCCCCATCCGACCCACCTCCTCCATGCACGTACTCTTCCGGCAGTCGGGGTCTGCGTGCACCTTGCGCACCAGGGCTCCGTGCTTGTAAACGGCGGCCCCGGGCTCGGGAGTCAGGTCCAGGAAAGGGCTGGAGCCACTGCCACTGCCCCCGCTGACCCGTTTGATGACCTTGGGGTTGGGGTCGGCCAATTCAGACAGAGAACGCCTCAGCTCCTCTTCGTCTCTGCAGGGGTGAGGGCCTTAGAGGGGCTGGCCAGGAAACCTCAGCCCCTGGCTTCACCTTCCCTGGAGAGCTCTGCCAGTGTCTGTGGGGCTCTGGGGTCTCCCCATTCTAAGCAAGGCTCTACTCAGGGTAGAGTTCATGGCCAACACCCTCCTGCATAGCCATCCCCTCCTCTTTGTTTCTGCACACACCCCAACTTGCACACCCTTCTCTACCAGGACAGGTGTGTCTAACAGCTGTCTCAGACACATCTTAACACTAGGCATTGCTGGTGGTTTGATGGCTAAATGGCTGCAGAAGCAAGAGATGGCTTCCTAGGGCTCCACCCCAAATGATCAGATTCTAATTTGTCACTCCCTTGTACAGGAACCTACTGTAGCTCCCTATTGCCTCCCACACAGAACCTACACTACATCTCCCCAGATACCTGTCACTGTCCCTCCAGCCAGCCAACCTCCTTGTGGCCTCCCCATTCTACACTCACTTTAAACAGACTTCTGCCAAAAGCTTTCCTTTTTTCTGTCTCCAAATGCTTTTCCTCCTTCCAGACTGGCCTTAGTCCTCCAAAAAGCCTTCCTGGATCAACTCCTGCACCCTGATCAATCCGAGCTCTCCCTCTTCTGAGCTCTCTCCCCAGGACCGGGAACTCCCAGCTAACCTAAGTGGGATCCACAGTCACAGGTGAGAGAGCTCTAACTTCAGACCAGGGCCTGGCCAGCTGGACCTTCTCCCTCAGTCTGCACTCTCACTTTGGTCACTTTCTGCCTGCTACTGCTTGTCCAGAGAAGGGCGGGCTCCCTGAGACCTGCAGGCCTCCTGTGCTGTGGGCCAGGGCACATCTCCAGAGATGTCTGCTTTCCCATTGCTGTCCGGGAACCACCCTTCTGCCAGCATCTTCCTCCTGTGCCAGTGCACTTGTCATAACAGCCTGGCTGGAGGCAAAGCAGACCCGAGTCCAGGCCAGCATGTCCAAAGAAGGAAATGAGGGAGCCTCTCTCCAGCCTGCACCCCTCTCTACCCAGGGCCCGGGACTCACATGGCCCACTGCAGTTTTTCATTCTTGATGGAGCTGTACAAGGCCTGAGGAGGAACAAAGTGGGGAGGAGTGAGTCCTGGGGAAGGTGCACTAAGTTTTTGAGAATCAAAGCCCGGAGCCTACCTTCAGCCTGAGAAGGAGATGGAACAAGCAAGGTGGGGGAGGGAGGGCACAGGGGAGAAAGGCCACAAACACACCTCCAGGATGCAGTCCCAGGTCCCTCCCAGCTCTGCCCCCTTAGCTGCATGACCTTGCACCAGGATCCTCAGATCCACAGAAATTAAGAACCTAGCCACATGAGGTGGGGGTGAGGCAGCAGATGGCATTGGGGATCCTGACATGGGGCTGACACACTGAGGACAGCTACAACTAGAAGGTTCTGCTCCAGTCTGGTGGGAGCACGACCCTAAGAAAATAGGGAGCAGCCCAAGAAGCCCTGCTTCCCCAGCCATGTGCTCTGGCCTGTTTCCACAGGACAAACCCACCTACGGCATGTGGGGAAACTGAGGCCAAGTGATAGGCCCACCCTCTCGACTCCTTCCTTGACTAATAGAGAATGTACTCGCTTGGCTCCAAACCCAGGACAAACCAGCACCCCACCCACATCACACTCATGGTGTCAGGAGTATACACTAGTGTGAAGCAGCACTTCTAGCTTCCAACTCCTGTCCACCTGAAACTTCGAGCTGCAGAACCGGCCACTTCACCGCCACACAGCTGGCCAGGGGAACAAGAGGAAGCTTTAATCTTGAGATCAGAGGAGAGCGTAACCTCCAGGAGCAGGACAGGGGACCCTTCTTCTCAGGAGTGGCCTGGAATACGGGCCTGTGCCGGTGCCCCGCGCTGCGGGGGCGCTTCGCAGCCCGTCTGTGAGTGGGTGTGTCCCAGCATGTGCGTGTGTTGCTGTGATGCTGCCTGCGTGTCAGCTGTGTGCAGTGGTGACGTCGGCGCCTTCCCTGCGAGAGGACACGGCAACCCCCCACCCAGCACGCACCCCAACACACCCGTCTCTGACTCCCACTGCCACACAGGGATGCCCACCACGGGCTGACCAGGTGTTCCTACCCTGCACACCCAGCCTGGGTGAGGGCCCCTAGCATACACTCTCCATCAACACTGCCTTCCCTGAATTCACCCAGCCCAGAGACCCAGCAGCCAGCCTAGCTCAGACCCAGACCCTCCCACAGCGGCTTCCTGTCCCATCTGCAATGCTCATATACAATCTTCCACTCCACCCTGGCCCCCGTTCAAGACCCTGCCCAGAGTCACACCTACCCTGAAAACTCCTGAACCCCACACGCGAGCCCACCTCAGGTTCCCATCTAGAAAGACACGGCTTCGGAGGTCATGCCGCACCCCAGTTCGCGCCCACCTCCAGCCCCATGGACGACGTCCCCCCACCCCCAGCCCTCACCGCCTTCTTCTTCCTGCGGCTCTGCAGGCGGCTGACCACCAGATCGGTGTAGAGCACGGGCTTGAGGCTACGTGAGCGCTGCGGCCAGCCGTAGCACAGGGTCTCGGCGCCGC